TGCATCCAACCCCCCCCGTCAGTCACAGTGATTGATGATCCCGCGTCCGCGCCCGCGCCGTTGCTAGGCGAGGCGCATGCATCACCACCCCCGTCCTGTGCCATCATCGCAAGGGTTTGTGCAAAAATTGTCCGATTACAATACCTGACAGGCTGTCTGTCCTATGATTCCATGATAACCCCCCCCCCCACCTTGCCTCTCCCCGCCACGACGGCTTCAAGGAATTCTCAGGGTCCCTCTTCCGCTTGTGCATGTCTCCCCTCAGCTCTCCTCGTCTACCGCCGCCTCCCAATCTGGCACTGAAACCTCCTACATCATAGCCAGGGCAATGGGGGAAACGGACAACGGCCTGATCGGGCGAGACCGGGGCCGCCATATCTAGTCGACCGACCGGCCGAGCCCGGCCTAGGCCGCTCTCCGTCTTGGTATGGCGCCGGTCCCAAATTCCCCGTGGCATTCCTCGCGCCGGGTGGGCACGCCCGGTTCGCTCCCTCGTTTGGGGTTTGGGGGGCAAGGACGGCCGCGAGGCGGGCGGATTACCTATGCATACCCCTATTTTAGAGGCGGGAGCCAGTCGTTGAACTTTTCTTTGTTTGTTTCGAATCTCTAGTCGACGACGAGATTCGATAGGCGGCGGAGGGTCCGTCGTTTAGGGGTGCGGAGGGGATGGCTGACGGGATCCCCTCACGGGGCTCCTGGCCGGCGCCCGCGCCAGGCGCACGTCATATCGGCTAGCAGGGCGTCCGTCGTCTGCCAGCATGCGTCTGTGGCGGCCGGCTCCAGGTCGATGCCCGTCGATGGGGGGCATGCCCCGGCCTCTGAGCTAAAACATCCAGCATTCCTCCACGAGGGGTAGAGACAAAGACAAAGAAAAGACTAGGGGTGGCGAACGGTGTGGAATGGTGGCATGGGGAGACGGACTCCCAATGTTCACGCGCGCACACCCCGAGTTGGGCAGATCGCAGCCCAAGGGTCCGTCGTGTCTTTCTATTCCCTGACGGGCATCAATCGTGTCGACGGCCTCCTGGTTTCCCGTTCCTGGGATCCGTCCGCAGTAGTTCCGTTGCACGATTCACGAGAGTCGGGTGTCCAAGACTTCGCACCCCCCTTGCTACCGTTCCAAGCCATCTTGCCCCTGAGTCCGGTATGCATCTTGGTCGTTGCTCTCCCCTCTTACCCCTGAGCTTTTTCTACTCCAAGAAACCCCGGGCTCTCTCACCTCCACGCCGCGGACGCCGAACCGGAACGCAGAGGCGGCGCCTCGCCGAAGACGGCCTCGTACCAGCGTACCAGGCGCCCGCAGCCGTCGTCGGCGGCGTCGTCGTCGTCGGCGGGCACCTGAGACGCTGAGCCGCACGCCTTGCTGCCAGAACGACGTTCC